TGGTGATGGTGGTGGTGATGGTGATGGTGGTGATGATGGTGATGGTGATGGTGGTGGTGATGGTGGTGGTGGTGGTGGTGATGGTGGTGGTGGTGACGGTGGCAACACCAGAGACAACAATGTTCCATGTCAATTAAGCTGCCATGAAGGAATCTGGGGTTTCTTTCTGCCTCTTAGAGAGAGATTAAGAATAAGCTCAAAGAGGCCTTAATCATGACCAAATAACAAGGACAGTGATGACGGCAGATGCCTGTGCCAAGTTCTTCACTTGGATTTTAACTCATTTAAGATTCAGAAGCGCTATTTTGATGCCCAGTCTGCACAGGAGGACATTCAGGCTCAGAGGATCTAAATGGTCTTCTCAAGGCCACAGAGCTGGTAAAGGAAAAGTGGGTCAAGAGAACTAGAAGAGCAGCCACAGACAGGAGGAAAGATTTGCCAAAGACCCATCTGACAAAGGACTGCTGTCCAGAATGCACGAAGGACTCCTAATGCTCAACAATAAGAACACAGACAGCCTGGTTAAAAATGGACCAAAGACCTTAACAGACCCTCAGCAAAGAAGACATACAGACAGCAAAGAAGCACATGAAAAGATGCTCCACCTATGTCATCAGAGAAATGCAAATTAAAACAACAGTGAGGACTTCTCTGGTGGCGCAGTGGATAAGTAAGAATCCGCCTGTCAATGCAGGGGACACGGGTTCGAGCCCTGGTCCGGGAAGATCCCACGTGCCGCGGAGCAGCTAAGCCCGTGCGCCACAACTAATGACCCTGCGCCCTAGAGCCCGTGCTCTGCAACAAGAGAAGCCACCGCAATGAGAAGCCCGCGCACCGCAACGAAGAGCAGCCCCCGCTCGCCGCAACCAGAGAAAAGCCCGCGCAGAGCAACGAAGACCCAACGCAGCCAAAAAAAAAAAAAGATTTTTTTAATAAAATAAAATAAAACAACAACGAGATACCACTACATACCTATTAGAATGACCAACATTTGCAACCCTGACACCACTAAATGCTGGTGAGGGCGTCAGAAGGCACAGCCATTTGAAAGACAGCTTGGCATCTTCTTACAAAACAGACTCTTACCATAAGACCCAGCAATCACCCACCCTTCGATATTTACCCAAAGGAGCTGAAAATATATCCCCATAAAAACCTGCACACGGATGTTTATAGCAGCTTTATTCATAGTTGCTGAAACCTGGAAGCAGCCAGGATGTCCTCCAGTAGGTGGATGAGTAAACTGTGGCTCACCCAGAAAATGGAACATTATTCAGCATTTAAAAGGAGGGAGCTATCAAGCCATGCAAAGACACGGAGGGCCCTACATGCGCACTGCTAAGCGACAGAAGCCAGTCTGGAAGGCTACAGACTGTATGATTCCACATTCTGGAAAAGCAAAACTATGAACACAGTAAGAAGATCAGTGTTTGCCAGGGGTTGGGAGGTGGGAAAGGATAACAGGCAGAGCACGGAGGATTTTTAGGGCAGTGAAACTATTCGGCGTGCTACTGTAATGGTGGATACATGCCATTATATATTTGTCCAAACCATAGGAAGTACAACACCAAGAGGGAACCCTAAGGTAAACTATGGGTTTGGGGTGATTACGATGTATCAAGGTAGGTTCATCGGTTGTGAAAATGTACTATTCTGGTGGGGATGTGGATAATGGGGGAGATTATGCCTGGGGAGGGGAGGGCAGGGCAGGGACTATATGAGAAACCGCTGTACCTTCTCCTCAATTTTGCCGTGAACCTAAAACTACTTTTAAAACATTGCCTGGAAAAAAAGAGCAGGGACTGGAACTGGGCGTTTCTGACCACCGAGGCAGTCCACCCCGTGCCACGGCTCAGAACACATGGTTCTGTCTCTGAGCCCGGCGTGCTCACAGCAGTTCCCAGGCACCACTCTCCGTGGGGACTGCTCGTGGGCAAGACGACCTCCCCTCTCTGCTCTAATCAAGACGTGCCTCTGAGGGTTTTGACGCCCCCGCGCAGAGGAGAGACCCCACAAGAAACACTCACAACCGGAAGGAGGAACAAGCCCACCCCCACCCACATTTCTCACCCATAGCACACCCTCCAGCCACGAAGGGGCACGTGAGTCTAGTACCCCGGGGTCAGCACTGGGGGAGGGGCAGCTGCTCCTCGCAGCCCCTTGTCTGAGCACACACATGACACACACCAGCACGTACAAATGTACAAGGGCATGCTTACACACATGCACCCACGGACACAGCCACAAGGGCGTGTGCACGCGCACACGTGTGTGTACACACACAGACAGCACTCGTGTGTGCCCACATGCACATGTGTGTGCTCACACTCACGCATTCATGCCCACATTCAGATACACGTACAAACATGCACATGCTCGCACGTATTGTGTCCATGCACACAGATGTATGTACAAGGTGCAGTATACACACGTATATGCACACACCCAGACGTGCGCACATTCACACGGGGTGCACACTCATGCGTGCACACACATTTACACGCTCACATGCATGCGTATGCATACACGTGTGTACACACATGCACACGTGCATGTGTCCCCACACCGTCCCGATGCCATCCCCACACGCTATTCCCACCCTGTCCCCACATTCCCCCCATGCTCTTCCCATTCTACCTCCCCATGCCATCCCCACGCTGTCCCCCATACTGTCCCCACGCTCTCTCCCACGCTCTTCCCACTTTGTTTCCCCATGCTGTCCCCTCATACTGTCTCAGCCATCCTTCCACAACGTCCCCACACCATCCCCCATTATGTCCCCCCAGCAGCGTGGCTGCCATCCTTGACCCCACAAGCGTTCCCATTCTGAGCGCCAGCAAATGCTGGAATCGGCCCAAACACCAGCAGTGAACACGGAGCCCCGGAGCTGAGGAAGGGGCTTCGTGAAGCTGCCCCAGCACCGGACCTGGACGACGCCGACAAGAGCTGCCTTCCGGGATCACTGTGGGGCCCGTGAGGTCCTCACGCGGCAGCTTGGCTGGGAGCCTGGCGCACGGCTCAGATGGAGCGTCATCTCTCAGGAGTCAGGGTGGCGCTCCATCTGGGACAGAGCTGCGCCTCCTCCCACACCCGGACTGGACCCTGCCTCTCCCTCTCCCCCAGCCAAGTGCCTCTGCCCTCAGGAGCTGAGCCACCAGGGCCTCAGGACTGACCCTGCCCAGTGACAGGGGGCCAGGAATTGAACAGGGGGTGGGAGATCCCCGCGTGCCAAGGCTGCCAGAGCAGCCCCTGCTCCATGCCCTCGGCAGCTGCTCGGGACCCACCGGTGGGAGAGGGGGGGCGGGGGAGGTGCCCAGCCTACCTGAGGATGACATACATGACGAGACAGTTCCCCAGCAGCCCCCCGATGCACACAGCCAGGTAGATCCCCACGATGGTGACCTTGAGCCCGAGGGGCAGGAAGGCGCCGTGGCTGGCATTGAGCATCAGGTGCGGGGGCAGCAGGCTGTGGTTGGGGCTCAGGAGAGACAGGTTGCCCTGCAGGTGGCCGCCGTAGAGGACTTCCCAGAACGGGGCAGGGAAGAGAGACTCCATGCCCCGCCCTGCACGCAAAGCCCCACGGTACCTGGGGAGGCACAGGGACATGTGAGCGCAGCACCCAGCACCCACCCAGCCCCAGGCCACAGACACGGAGGCACGTGCGTGTGCACACACATACACACACACACCGGGCACACGGAGACACGCAAACGTGTATGCCAGGGACGGGGCACACGTGCACACACACAGGGACACAGTCTCAGCTGGTCTGCGGGCTCCCACATGGGATGCGCGGATGCGCTTACACAGCGGGATGTGTCCACCCATGGGGGCTCACAGACACACAGCATGCACACACACACACGCACACAGATGCCCAAAGCTGCCCTCGTGCACACGCAGACACAAAAGGGACCAAGACACACCCAGAAACACCTGGAACACTGGACATAGGGCAACCGAGCACAGGGCCTCCTCCTGCCCCTCCCCAGCCCTGCCTGAGAGCCGCGGCCACCACAGGTCACCTCCACGCCAGCCCCCAGCGGCTCAGCCTTACCTCGGTGACCTCCGTGGGAGCTGGGACCCCGGAGGCCCTAACCCTCGGCCTGCGGCAGAGCAGGGCTGGGAGTGCCGGCCCGACTCAGCTCTGGGTCTGGACGATGCCGCGGCTGCCGCACAGTGGCAGCTGCTCCTTTTCCTTCTCAGACGCCAGACCAGACGCAGCAGGCTGGTTGCACGGAGCTGGGGGAGGGGAGCAGGCTGCGGCTGCAGGGGGGCGGGGCCGTGCAGGATGGAGGAGGGGGCCCCAGGCTGGACGGGGACAGATGCAAGGACCAGGGTGCACCCTTAGAGATGAACAACAGAGAGGCTTGGACCCACAGAGCCCAGACGGAGACAGGCTCGAACACATGGACACAGGGATAGAGGTGCACATGAGAACTCAGACACGTGGACGGACACACACAGACACACACACACACACACACACACAAGGACGCACAGGGACTCAGGAACAGACACATGGAGACACAGGGACAAACACACAAGAACAGACACAAAGGACATGCAGAAACACACAAAGACATGGAACGGAGACTCGGAGAGACACACACAAGACAGAGACAGACGTGAAGCCGCATCTCACTCAGAAGCAGGGCCTTGGACGGACTCAGACCTGCCCCAGCCGGAGTTCCATGCCCAGAACAGCACCCCTCAGCTGGGATCCCAGGGCAGCTGAGCCACAGGGGGCCGCCGGTTGGGTGGCTGGGGCCCTGCCCAGCCAGTCCTGATCAGATCAGAGCCTCATAAACAAGCAGGATGTCTGGACTGTCCAGTGTGCCCCACGTGCCTCCTGGGTGCCAAGCCCATCGCAAGCACAAGCTTGTCCACCCCCACCACCCCTAACTGTGGGCCTCAGCATCACCTCAGCAGTGTGAAGCCACCTGTCAAAGGGGCAGAGACAGGGTTCAAAGCCAGGTCTGTCTGCCACCTGAAGACCCACCAAGGGCACCTCTGCCTCAGCTGATGGGTCCCTGAACATCACTGCCTCACAGCCTGGGCCCCCAGCACCCACACAGCAGAACATGGAGCTGCCTCCTTCCCATCCCTGGGGTCACATGCCTTGTGGGTGACCCCTGAGCTGAACTGCCAGCCCCACCCAGTCAAGGGGTCGTTCTTCCTGCCCGGGCTCTGCCCACACAGCCCAGCCCCTGCTCGGAGCATCCGTCTCCAAGGATGGGGACCTGGTTGCTAGGCGACTGGCAGCAGCGGCGCTAGGATACCTGGCGAGTCAGGAGAGGACAGAGCAGGCAAGTACCCCGGGGCTCAGCACCGCAGGCCCCCACAGGGCTTATCTCTGCGCCTTCACCGCAGTCGGCCCAGGGACATGTGTGGAGGCATGGGGCACATCTGCAGAGGCACTCAGGACACAAAGGCTCACAAAAACACACACAAAGGTGCCCAAACAGGCACACAGGTAAACAAACAGACATGGGTACATGCTCAGAGGACTCACAGACACTCGAAGGGACCCAGAGACGCATGGGTCACACCCACGCAAACCCACACTAGGGTGCACGTGAGGCACAAGGTAGACACGGGAGAAGAGGCAGATCAAAGCCTCAGACGCCCAGGGGACACACGTGCACCACCACATTCTCCAGGCAAAGCTCGAAGCCCCATCCCATTGACCTTGGGAGCCCCAGCAGGGCAGGAACCCCAGGGGCTCGCCCTCCTGCAGCCTCCCCGACCTGGGCTCCCCGAGGTCTGAGCAGCCAACCTCAGCCCCTCCCACCCCCACTGCCTGGGCCCACCTGCCCGCCAGTTTACGAAGCTGCTGCGTTTCCTAATGGCCTTCAGCCTGGGGAAAGGGCGGGGCTCGGAGGCTGCCTTGAGGCTGGGTGTGAGTTCCAGTCTGGACAGACCTCCCATGAGGGCACATCGTGGGGGGCCAGGCCAGGGTACTGACGACACTCCCTGGGGATGGTAGCCCCCAGCCCTGGACCCTGCAGGGTTCCCACAAAGGGGGCCTGGCCCAGGAAGTGGCCCAGCCTCTCTTGAGCCCTGTACGGCCAGGATAAGACACAGAACATATGTGTTACACATGGGGCAGCAGGTAACACGTGTGAGCATCTGTATCGAAGCAAGACAACCTCGAGCACACACGTCATATGCAGGCAAAACAAAACACGCAAGGGCACCAGCGGCAGCCCAAGACGCGCAGCTTACGTGATGGACGGCACAGAGCACGGCGCCGCAACGTACCAAGTGACAGCTGACCAGGGCTACACCTGGAGGTCACAGGCCTTCCGGGCAGGACCCAGGTCCCAGAGTGCCGGTGACACCCACAAACTGGGGTGAACGCACCTCACTCTTGCACCCAGTGACCCAGGGCCCGTCAACGCCAGATGGCACACTGTCGGCTGCCCCTCGGTCCGCATGTGCTTTGCCACCCCCCACACCCCCCGGAGTAGGGCATGGGAATCAAAGCACAGTCGCCAGCAGCCTCACCCAGAACAGCCATCCCCAGGGAATTCAGCCACCAGGCCAGTTGTGCTGTTGAAAAGTAAAAGGAATGGGGCTTCCCTGGTGGCGCAGTGGTTAAGAATCCACCTGCCAGTGCAGGGGACACGGGTTCAAGCCCTGGTCCGGGAAGACCCCCACATGCCGCAGAGCAACTAAGCCCCTGAGCCGCAACTACTGAGCCAGTGCTCTAGAGCCCGCGAGCCACAACTGCTGAGCCCGTGTGCCTAGAGCCTGTGCTCCGCAACAAGAGAAGCCACCGCAATGAGAAGCCCGCACACCGCAACGAAGAGTAGCCCCCGCTCGCCGCAACTAGAGAAAAGCCTGCGTGCAAAAAAAAGTAAAAGGATTTTCATAATTCTGGGCTTCTTCATAAAATATTACTTTTTCCTTGTGCTTTTAACTTCCTAATATTTACACACTGTGACAGAATTGTAGATTTGCAGTACAATGTTAAATTTTGCAGTCATTTAATAATCCTTATTGATATTATTTTGAAGTTTTCAGGTCTTGGCATCGATCGGCGCGCTCTTAGATCTCAGCATTCCCCTCAGCCCTTGAAAAACACATGAATCCTGGACACAGAAACAGGCGGGAGATGTGGCCCAGGGCCTCACAGTGGCTGGGCCCCAGACACAGGGAGCACCTCTCCTCCCAGGGGAGCTGTTGGGGGGGTAGAGAAGCAGGAAGAAGCTCCGCTCAGGAATGTGAACTATGCCAACACCAGGCCCTCTGGGAGTTAAGGAGGAGCGGGTGTCAAAGGTTTTCAATCCTACAAAAACAGAGGGAAAGTTACAAGTCCCTTCCTGCAGGAGAGTGCGCCCATTCTCCCCCTCCCCCCATAACTCCCACTCTTGCAAGTCACTTCCCCCCTGCATCTCCCTGGCCAGGACCCTGGGAAGCTAAGAGGAGGGCCCAGACTCCTGTCTCAGAGAACTCACTCCTGTGGGAACGCAGACTGAGGGCCAGAGGTGGTGCTGGCCTGGGCTGCGTGTATCCAGGAGGACTGCTTGAAGGAGGTAGGTCAGCCTGCCTAAGCCCTCACTGCTTCTTCTGGAGCCCATAGACCTTCGCCTTCAAAAGCCCCTCGGTGATGCTGAATCCCAAGGCCCAGGCCTCACCCTAAAGGCACAAGCCCTGCGGCAGCCGGGGGCGGGAAGGGGAAGCATCCAGGGAACAGCTCCTGCAAAGGCTTGGGGGCTGGAAGGATGGACAGTTCCATGCAGCTTTGGGAAGCGGGGGATGGCATGCCAGCTCCCGAGATATGGGGCCACAAAAGCGAGGGGATGTATGTATGCATGTGGCTGATTCACTTTGTTGTACAACAGAAACTAACACAGCATCGTGAAGCAATTATACTCCAATAAAGATGTATTAAAAAAAAAAAAAAACCTTACCCTCTCACTGGGAGGCCAGAGCAAACTTCCAAAAACAATGGCAACAGTCAACAGCCTCCTTCGGAAAGGCCAGAACCTCAGCTGAGACGCCACCCCCAAAGCCAGGACAGTCTCTCCCCTCAGGGACTCAGGTCGTGAACTCCCAAAACGGCACCATCCATGGGCCTCAATGCCCACCTTGGCACATCCATGAATGAAGGGAAGAGGCATGTTTACACTGTGGGAACCACCAATACATTAACAAATTATGGACTTAATGCACTAATTTTGGCCTCACATCAACTGCGGAATGAGTACATGGATTACTGAATCCAGAATGATCTGATGAGTGCATGAACACATTAAAGAATTAATCAATTAAGTGAATCAGTTATAAACTATTATGAAATTAACAAATGCACAAATAAATTACAGAAATCTAGGACCCAGGACCCAGAAATCAAAACCCGAGTCTGGGGACTTCCCTGGTGGTTCGGTGGTAAAGAATCCGCCTTCCAACGCAGGGGACGCGGTTTGCTCCCTGGTCGGGGAACTTAGATCCCACATGCCGCGGGGCAACTAAGCCCGCGCACCACAACTACTGAGCTCACGTGCCTCAAGGAGAGAGAGAAAACGCACACACCACCGCTAGAGAGAAGCCCGCGTGCCGCAACGAAGACCCAACACAGCCCCCCAAAAAAAAGAAAGAAAGGACTTCCCTGGTGGCGGAGTGGTTAAGAATCCACCTGCCAATGCAGGGGACACGGGTTTGAGCCCTGGTCCAGGAAGATCCCACATGCCGCGGAGCAACTAAGCCCATGCACCACAACTACTGAGCCTGCGCACCTAGAGACCCTGCTCCGCAACAAGAGAAGCCACCGCGATGAGGAGCCCGCGCACCGCAACGAAGAGTAGCCCCCAGCTCTCCACACCTAGAGAAAGCCTGTGCACAGCAACAAAGACCCAATGCAGCCAAAAATAAATAAATAAATAAATTTATTTGAAAAAAAGAAAGAAAATAAATAAATATTTAAAACAAGAAAACAAAACCAATGGTCTAAAAAAAAACACCACCCCTGTTCTTACACCACCCCTGGAACCCCCAGACTTGCCCTGGAAGAGGTGAAGAGTCCTGGGTTCTGCTGTGGGAGGCCTCGAGGGCCATGAAGAGGGGGAAGGGGCTCAACCACGAAGGTCTCCTCAGATCTGCGCCCCCTGACCCCAAAACTAGGCAGCAAAGACCTCTCCAGCCAGGAAGCTGGGCCCACAGCCCGCAGAAGAGTGCGTTTGGGGCTCTTCAGAAAAGAAAGAGAGCGCACCGGGCTGTCAAAGCTGAGGGTCATCTCCCTCGTGGTCCTTGACAGCCGGGAGGTCCCGGGGCGGGGCATCTGGCCGGGGACCTCGGTGCACTCGGACCGAAGTTCTGACCACGCACCTCCCCGAGGGCTCGCCCCGCCCCCGTTGGCTTGGGGGAGGGGCGGGCCTCCTGGTTGCCGAGCAACCGCGTCAACAAGTCCCAGAGAGTCTGGGCTGAGTTGGAGGCCCAGACCCGAGAAGGCAGAAAGTATGGGGTGTGGAAATGGGAGGCAAGGGCCGGGCGCTCGACCGCCGCCGCTAGGGACGGGGCGGGGGAGGGTGCGGACGCCAGCCTCTGTCCCAGTGTGGGCCAGGAGCCGGCCCAGGATCTGGGGTCCGGGGTCTGAGGTGCTGTGGGCTGGGCCGGGCAAGGAAAGGAGCCCTGCAGGGCTGCACCGGGACTTCCGGGGTGTTTCCCTCTCCCACCTCGGGGGCCCTTCCCCCTCTACCACCTTTTCCCTGGGCTCCTCTCTCCCCTACTCCATCTAGACCCAGCGTGGGACAGGCTGGGGGGATGGCGTCTCCCCTGCAGCAAGCCAGCTGTCCATTCGACTCTGAGACTCCGCCGCACACAAGTGAGACCTCCCACAGACACACAAACGGACCCACACAACATCAAACACACACACATCTCCCAGAAAAGCATGAGTCCTCTGCCCAAGATATAATGAAGGCCCACCCCCTCCATCTCCAGCCCCTAACACTAAGACAGAGAGGTCTGAGGCCTACGCAGACATGGGGGACGGACACAGCGAGGGTCCTGGCATGGGAGGAAGTGTCCTCCTAGCCTCACCCAGAGCAGTCTCAATCTGTCTCCACCCCTGGGTAGTGCCTGAGGTCAACTCAGGGGTCTCAGCATTTTCCCAGTGCGGGAGAAACAGCCCGTGGGCAGGAAGGGAGTGGATCCGAAAGTTCTAGCGGAATGCAGGAGTGAGTAAGGAGGCTGAGCTGACGGGGACGTGTGCCAGGTTGTGGCAAAGCTGCAGAGACCAGAGGTGTGGGCCCTAAGGCGGGCTGCACGGGGTCCAGAGGGGCCGGAGCTGGGAACCCACGGCGGGGCCGGGTCAGACCGAAGGAGCGGGCGCGAACGGGACATCGTCTTCCCTCGGCAGGGCCCGAGGATGCAGCCAGAGCCGGCGAAGGGACCGCGCGCAGGGTCCCGCGGCAGCGAGCGGGTAAGGGCGCGCAGGGCGCAGGGGCCCGCGTGGGGTGTGCCAAGGCGGAGCCGCCGACGCCGAGCTGGGCCCTCACGCCGGAGGGCCTGGAGGCCATGCGGCCCGCGCAGCGCCACAGCCACCTGCTCTTCGGCGACCTGCTGGAGGACGTGGGCGCGGCCGCTTCCGTCTTCCCGAGTGAGTCAGCAGAGCTGGGGCACCGCATGCCTGACCCGCGCGCGTGGACCCTGCAGCTCGAGACGCCCGCGCAGCGCCAGGACCGGGTCCTCGGCGTCCTCAAGGCCGCCGAGGCCCGCGGCCGAGTCCGCGCTCTCCGACTGCGCTACGCCCGCCTGCGGGTGAGGCAGGGACGGGGCCGGGGCGAGGAAGGGGCGGGGGGACCACCCGGCCGGGGGCTCTGAGGGCGAGGCGGGGCCGCCCGTCGCCAAGGCTCCGCAACAACCCCGCGCCCTGACCCCGGCACCCGCAGGCGGAGGAGATCTCGCTCCTAATCCTGCGGCAGAAGTCCGCGCGCGCCGCCCTCCGGCTGGAGCTGTTCCTGCCGCCGCAGCCGAAGCCCACGCGGATCCCAGATCCCCTAGACCGTCGAGAGGTGACTGCAAGCCCGGGAAGGGCCGGGGAGGGGCGGGGGCCCGCCCTCCGCCCCGCACACCCGGCCCCAGCACCTCCTCCCCCGCAGCGGAGGCGCGTGGAAACCATTCTGGAGGAGAAAGTCGACGGCAGCATCTTCCCGCGTTGATGGCGACCCCACAGTGCACGACTGTGCCCCACCCTCCTACATAAAGTTCTCACTTTCAAAGCGCCCCCTGGTGTCTAGGCTTCCTTTCTCTAGGTCCCCTGGGAGGGAAGGGGGGAAGGATGGATGCTAAGTCTCCCACATCCGATGTCGCAGGCATTGGGGTACTCAGAGTGCAGCTCCTCCAACAAAGTGGAAAGCTACAAGCTGGCTGACATCAGACTCACGGGGGCAGGGACACCCCTAATCCCCCAAATCCCACGCTGCCCCCATCAGGCAATCTGGTGCCCTGTGAGTCCGTGGGAGCCCCCAGCCTGGGTGTGATGGGAGGAAGAGCCTGGCTCAGCAACAGTCACACCCCCAGAGGTAAGGGCGGCCTCAGGGAGAAAGTGGTACCCAAGCAGGACCCCAGACTGCAGGTCATTCCATCAGAGGGTCAGCGAGGAAGGTGACATTCTGGACAGGAGAGTGACTGCAGAAGCCAAAGCTGGCCTTTGGACAGTCAGCCATGCCTGGGAGGTCCTCAGAGGACCAGGAGACTGAGGAGGGGGAGACCCTTCAGGCAGAAATCACCCTCGGGTCTTCCTCTCCATCTCGATCATCTTCCTCTGGCCCTGTGATCCCCCTTTCTGGACCCCCCCCCCACACGCGCGCACACACACAGAGGACAGGAAGGACACCGCCCCTTTCCATTCTGACAAACCCACATCCTGCAAACCCTCTGGATTCTGAAGAACCTCCCATGTTCTGGACAGATCTCCCCTTCGAGAACTTACTCTCCTGCCCAACACAGGCTCTTCGCAGAGACTGAGATTTCTCTTAGCCGGCTCTCCCTTTTCCTCCCTCCCAGCAGTCCAGTGGGCTACAGGGGGGGGGGGCCTCAGACAAGGCCCTCCCCTGCCAGGAGGCTCTGGCAGAGTTGCCAGCCTGCAGCAGAGAACTGGTCCTGGAGGGGTGGGCCCTCTACTGGCAGAGGTCAGAGCTGGGGTCCAGCAAGGAATCCTGCTCTGTGGCGGCCAGTGCCCTCCCTGACGCAGCTCAGAATGGGGACCTGAGCCCTCTGTAACCTCAGCAAGCCCTTCCCCCTCACAGGACCCTTCGCCTGTTCTGGGTTGTTGCACCCTTGGCGTTGATCCAAGCCCAGAACTGTGTGTGGAGCTGGAGACTGGAAGCTCCATGAGGGAGGGGGGAGCTCTCTATGGGGGGGGATGCGGGGGGCGGTTCAGGCAGGTAGGGGAAACAAGGAACAGGGGAAGAGAAGGTGGCTTGGGCGAGGGGAAGGGGGGCATCAGGCAGGGCACTTGAGGACAGAGGATGAGAGAGGCACCCACCGCCCCGAGGAGGCCAGCAAGAGGGCGGCCTCACAGACAGCTCTGCACCAGGCGTGGGGCTGGCACATGGGCACCCTTTGATCCCCACACCAGGGAGGGGTCCTCGGTCTGCAGAGAAGGCCCGGGAAAGTGGCCGAGGACAATTCTGCAGGGCCTGAAGGAGGCTTCTGCTATGGGAAAGCAAAGTATGTAGGCCGCAGCCCAATGTACTGGGGGCTGGGAGCTCATGCTCTAGACAGAGGGTCCTGGGTTCAAATCCCACCCCCAGCATTACCTGCTGCACAGCCTTGAATGAGCCCCTGCCCGGCCCACCTGGTTCCTCCTGTGGAATACGGGATAGACTCCCCAGAGGAAGGGCAGAAGACCCAGGAGGGCTGAGGCAAGGGGCACGGAGAGGCCTAAGTGGCCGGGGGACATGCGGGGGTGGTGAGAGGAAGGACAGTGTAGGGGGGGCGGGGAGGGGGAGGGGAGGGCCAGAGAAGCGTACAGAGTGGGGCCTGAGTGGAAGAGAAGTGCGCTGACCCACACCCACATCCAGCTGCCCCACACGTCTCAGGAGGCGGGTGAAGATGCCACGTCAAGTACCATGGCGTAGGCAGGGCTGTGTGACCTTGACTAAGCTCTGGCCCGTCTTTGAAGGACCTACCTCCCGGGACCGTTATCTAGGCTAAATACAAAGCAGCCACCTCCCATCTGGGCAGGCTTCCAGCATCTGCCCTGTCCCAGCCAGCCTGTCAACATGGCAGCCAAGCCCCCTGGGCACAGGGCATCAAGACGCCCCCCGGACTGCAAGGCCCCTCTCTCCTCCCTGACCTTGGCCCGCACCCTCTTCAGCTCAGCTCCTGCCCTGCTGCCCTGCCAGCGGCTCCAGCTCCGTCCCGTGCTGAGCAAGCGGTAGCACTGAAACACCCCCCCCTCGTCGCTCTGCAGTTCTCCTTAGCTCTCCTCACCTCTCACCCAGTCTGCAAGTCCACTTCTTGTCTGCTCCGGGGCTTGTCTGTCCTGCTCGCTGCCAGGTCCCACGGACTGGCACACAGGGGACACGCAGACATTTGCTGGATGAATGAGGAGCTCACGTAAAATCTCCACTGCCCTTTATGCCCCCAAGAGCGCTGAGGACAGTGAGCACCTGCAACCTGAGCAACTGGAAGGCACTTTGTGAGCGGGCCCTGGGTGCCGGGGACAGGAGCTGCCTACGGTTGGGGGCCAGGGCCACTCAGACACTGGCCCAAAGCATGCTGGGATAAGGGATTTAACTCACAGGCCAGGGGGACTCAGACACTGCAGACCACTTCCAGAGCAGGGTCAGGGCCCCCCAGACACTGGCCCAAAGCATGCTGGGATAAGGGATTTAACTCACAGCTATACCAGGTCATAAGATATGAGGAGAGTTGTCCAAAGAGAAGGGACGGGCATTCGTGGCAAAGGGGAGGTGTGGCTTTAAACTGTAGAACATCTGGGGGCAACTGGAGGGGTTGAAAGGGACTCAGCCAGGCCCCGCAGACAGGGACATTTGGCGACCCCGGATAGAAGAACCAGTACCCCCAGCATCACTGGCACCGAAGCCCAGGAACCACCTTCCTTGGGAAGTCCCCTACAGCACGGTGACAGCGCGCCCTTAACCCTATTTCACAGGTGAGGACACCCAGTGCCGGAGAGGCTAGGGCCAGGCCGGGACTGACCACGGGGGACAGTCCTTTCCAGGGGGCCTCTCCCTCGAGCGGGGCAAGTAACCTATGGGGACGCCCCCCCCACACAACCTCCACCCCACCCCACCCCGTAACGGCAACGCTGGACCGGCCCTGCCGAGCAGAGCCGGGGCACGGCCACACCCCCAGCTGCCGCAGTACCAACTCAGCCGCCCCGGGGGGCCAGAGGCCCCATCAGCTGCACGGGCCATCCTAAGCGACGGCGGGGACGGAGGCGCCGCGCTCCTGCGCGCCGGGCGGTGGGGAGTGGGCGCGTGGGGCGAGGAGCCGGCCGAACGCGGGGCGGGGCGCGCCGGGCGGGGCGGGCCGGGCCGGCGTCTGCCCGCGCGAGGAAGTCCCGGCCCCGCGCTTTGGGGAAGTGAGGCCGAGGCGCCTGCGCACTGAAGCCTGCGCCCGCTCCCCGACGATTCGGCCGGACCTCGGAGCGCGCGGGCCGGCGGCTGCGGCGCGAGTGCCTCGGGAGCGCGGCCGGTGAGTGCGCGCGCGCGCGGCGCCGAGGACCGCGGCCCTGCCCCTCCGGCCAGGGCCCGGGGGCCGTGCGGGGCGGGAGCCTCGGAAACCGGCGCCGGAATCCGCGCCCCAAGGACTCCGCCGCGGGGTCCACGTGGACCCTGGGCCGCGGCGGGACTGGAGCCCGTCCCCGCGCGTGGGGGAGGGGCCGTTGCAGCCGGGTTCCCCTTTTCTGCAGCTCGAAGCCTGGGGAAGTGATTGCTCAAAGCGGGGGGGGGGGCCGGAAGAACCCAGGTTTCCGCGTCTCCCGTCCCCCCCCCTCAGCCTGTGGGGAGGGGCCGAGGCGGGACACCCGGTTTGCCCCCGCCCCCACCCTGTTGCATCTGGCAGCCACTCATCCCTGCCAGTCGCAGGGAAGGCGCTGCGCCCCCGGCCCGAGCCGATCGGGGGCTCCAGGCGCCAGCCTCGCTCCAGAACGCGCAGGAGGACCTCCTGCCGTCTGACTTGAGTCCTGCTGCTGCAGTACACGCCCCTTCGGCAGCCAGGGTGGGGCCCAGAGCGAACCTGGCCCCTCCCGCCCCTGCCTCGCCTTTGGGTCGCTGGTGAGTGGGGCGCACGGCGAGTTCCTTGAGATTGGGGTGGGGGCGTCAGAGGCTGGAGGAAGGGGCAGACTTCTCCAGGCCAAACCCCACCATGAGAGAGAGGGAGGGAGAGAAGTGGGTTGCCCCCACCATTGTAGAGGTGGGCAGTGGCGAGGGTCACCAGGGCTAGGAAAGACCTGGCCTGCCTTGGACGAGCCAGGCTGGGACTTACCTACGGGGGAGGGGGGCGGCTCGGCAGACAGGAAAGGTGCTGAGGAGGATGAGAAGAAGGGAATGGAGCCCCTCTGTCAACCCCCCTCCCAAAGGTTGTGGCATTTTTTTCCTGGGATTGTCACATTTTCTTATTCTTTTTTTGGACTGGGCGGGCTCGGGGACGTTCTTTTTCCTTCTGTGGAGCAGAGCAGCAGCCGCTCCCAAGGGAGCCTCTGTCCCCAGAGGCCAAACTTGCTGCCTGTCCAGCTTCTCCTATCCCAGACTTAGGGACCAAAGCCTGGAGGGGCTGGGGGAGGGGAGGGAGCCCCCTCCCACGTGCCCGAATGAGGGGCGGGAACCCTGGTTCAGACCCTGTACCCCCACCAAGAAAGAGAGCAGGTGCCCCAGGGGCACAGGTGGCCCCAGCCAGCCTGAGGAGGGTGCACGGAGCCAGGCCCAGGGATGGGTGACCAGGTGCAGGGCCTACAACCAGGACAGAAGGGACGGCCTCTCCCCCTGCCCCTCCTGCCCCAGCACCTGGGCCCTGCATCCTCAGGCAGGTCCCCTCGTCCAAGTCAGAGCTGAGTTGGAGAAGGCAGCCTAGAGGGGTACAGTCTTCAGGGTGCTGGGGGGGCAGGGGTTGGGGCCCTGCCCCCGCTCACAGTGGGCAGGGGTGCAGAGGAGGAAGAGCCGCTCTGCCTGGGGAAGTCACAGCCCGTCTGGGGTACAGCTACCAGACCTCAGAGGTTGCCACACCCCTTCCTTTCCCTAGAAACTTGACCCCTGAGGGTAGGCATGCTGTCGGGCTGCTTCTTCCCCATCTGTTTGCTGGAAGCCAGTGGGATCCAGTTGGAGGGTCCCCCCCCCCCCACCAGCGATCTCAGGGGAAGCCAGGCAGGTGGCCAAGTGGCCAAGGCCCCGTGGGACCCTACACCTGGCCCCCAGATTTGGGTCAAGGCCGAGGCCTCCGCATGCCCAGGCTCTGGAGGCAGGGGTGCCCCAGGTGTGCATATCCCGGGCTGTCCCCTCTGAGCGCAGCACCCGGTCAGTGGCTGGGAGGCAGGAGCTGCCTAGCCTGGTGACTGCCCCGGGGCCTGTCCCAGAGCGTCCACTTTCCTCTTCTGCCATTGGACACCCCACGAGGCCAACATGGACCAAACAGACATTAAAAGGCCAAGAGCTGAGGGATGGGGGGCAGCAGGGCGGATGATCATTTAATGAGAAAATAAACTGAAACCAAGTCCTGAGCACCTCGCGACAGGGTTTCAGGAAGGTCCGCGCGGCAGACGTGCCAGGGGGCGCACCCGGCCCCGGGGGTGGGCCGAGGTGGGCGCAGGCCGAGGTAGAGACTGGGAGGCAGGTGGGGAGGCGTTCAAAACTGCCTCCTGGACCCTGATTGGCCGCCCCCGCGGCTCGGGTCCGCGGGTTCCCCGCGGGGGCCGCTCACCCGGATGGGGCTCCGGCGCCCCCCGCGCGTCCGCACCGTGGAAGGTGCGCCCCGACGCCGAGCGGAAGGGACCCCGCGGCTCCGACCTGCCCGGGAGCAGGACGCACCCCATCCCCCGCCGCCGCCCGGCGCGCCCGCCCTGCCCTGCGGCAGGCCTGGGGCCGCAGCCGCAGCGGTTTCCGCAGCCTGTGGGGGGGGGGAAGGGAGGCCGGGAGACCCTGGGCGCGGGAAAGTGCCAGCCGAGTGTTCGGGTGCCGGGCCAGTGACCGGGCCGAGAAGGTGGCGGTCCCTGGCGGCTCTCGGCCGTCCTCACCGGTGCCTGCTGCACTTCCCGCACCCTCAGGACGTCCCGCCCCAGCCCCAAGTCCTCCTTGTCTGCAGGCCTGGTCTGCTGCCCCTGCTGAGTCCCCAGGAGCAGGTGGGGAGCCTCCCCAGGGCTGATCCGGACTCCTCGTGGGGAGCAACCCTCACCACCTCCCAGCAGCCAAGGAAAACCTGGGATGGAGGGAGCTGGGATGGGGGGGTCTAAATGTCTGACCACCACCCCTATGCACCGCCCTTATAGCCCCAGACTCTGGGGGCCTCCAGCCCCCTTGGGAGGGGCCAGGAGCCGGAAACCGAGAAAGAGGAACCCTGGCTTCCGGCTTCCCAGGGAGCGAGTAGATGGGGGTGTCCCAGAACCTCCTGTGGAGATCTTGTCTGGGGTCCCCTCCTTCCTGACCCCACATACCCTCACAGCCACAGTGTAGACTGGAGTGGGGGTCAGGGCCTGGGCAGAGCGGTCTGGAGGTGGGAGGCCGGGCAGGGGGCCGGGGGACACCTCCGGGAGGAGGGAGAGACTCGGGACCTCTTCAGGGGGGCAGGCTGCCACCGGTGTCAGGTCCTCCATGAGAGTCCCGGCCTCTCTTCTCAGAGCCCCAGGCTGTGGTGAGGGTCCTGGAGCAGGCACCACGGAGCCCCGGCAACCTCTTCCACCCACCCATGCCCACCCCACCTGAGGCTGAGAAGCAGGTGGGCCGCCTCCACCGCTGACTCTGTCCCTCGGGGGCTGGGGGCATGACTAGGAGTTGGGAGACCCCTGGACACCTGGGAGGCCGGAAGGGTCACGCCCCGCCGGGAGCAAGCAGGCCCCCAGCAGGCGGGCGGGGGGGGAAGTAGGTGGTTCTGCCTGGAGGCTGACGCGGCCCCGTCTCCCCCCAGCACACAGGGCCAGAGGAGGGGGACCAGCCTCCCTCCATGTCCAGTCGTGATGCGGCCCCCCAGGCCCCCCCCAGGCGCAACCCCTGCTGCTTGTGCTGGTGCTGCTGCTGCAGCTGCTCCTGGTACGTGGGCCGGGGGCGCACCGTGTGCCCGGTGGGCAGGGGGCACTGAGCAGACCTGGGATCCAGGGCCCCACTCCTCAGCCCCTCGGGGGGCTTTCGAGGCATCACCCACAGCACTCATCCAGGGGTCTGGTGACCGGCGGCCAGTGCCCAGGCCCCTCTGTGTGTGTGATTTTCACGGCTGGTGTGCCGAGGTTGTGTCCACATGCAGGCACCCAGCCAGCACGTGCACGTGTGTGTGTGTACGCGCGCACGCGTGTGTTTACTGCAAGTCCGCCCAGACTGGCCCTGGGGACCTACAGCAGAACAAAAGCAGGTCCTACACATTGTGTCAGGTGGAGGAGCCTTAAGCAGAGACCTGGCCCTGGGACAGTGCAGGGGGTGGACGTGGGGCCTCCAGGGGGGATGTGGTTTCTAGGCGCGTAGGGAACCTGTTGGGGTTTTTGTGCCTCGCAGAGGCCTGGCCCTTTTCGGGCTTCCACCCCGTGGCTGTTGAGTGGACAGCGCTGAGGGGACCCAAAGGGGGATCAGCTGAGCAGTGAGCAACTGAGGCCTGAAACAGGAGAGGGACCGCCTGGGGGTAGAGACACGAGGCCGTGAACTGTTAGGGCTCATGGGGGCCAAGCGAGGAGTGAGGAGTCTGGCGTCTGGCGTCTGGCGGGTGGGGGTAGGGTGGGAGCTGAGTTCTGTCTGGCCCTTTGAGGTTGAGGTGTCTGTTAGCCGTCTCAGTGACCCTGGGGCAAGGTCCAGCTGGAGGTGTGGACTGCGGAGCCAGCACTGATGCTGTGCCCGGAACTAAGGAGAGAAGCAGGGCCCCGAGGGAGAGTCAGGGGCCAGACACACGGGCTGGGGGCTTTCTCCCCATCAGTCGGAGTCTCTGGGAGAAAGCAGTGGGGGTCGAGGTCAGGCCAGGGAGGGAGAGGTACCCGAAGGGCCTGTGAAGCCCCAAAGGCAAGACAACGGGCCCAGGGCCGGACCGGAGATTGGGAAAGGAGCCGACCCACCCTGCAGGGGGTTCACATGTGTGCTGAGAGCCCCTAGGCCTCGTGCCCATACAGACGCGTGTCGGTGTCACTGTGTGGCCAGCGTCCTGCGCGCACACGCGTGCCGCGGAGGGCAGTGCCACCGTCCCCTCTGCTGGCAGGAACGAGGAGCGGCGGCGAGCGTGGCGGGCCTCCCGAGAGAGCAGGCTGCAGCCCCTCCCCAGCTGCGAAGCCTGGTGAGTCTTGGCCGCGGGTCTGCGCGGGGCGGGGCGGGGGGGGGGGGGGGGGGGGG